AACTAAATATAGAAGATTTCTATAAGTCACAAACAAAGGCAGATCATTTAATTGAGTATTGGCGTTCATATCACTCGGTTAATTACAAATATTAAGGTAGAGGCAACGTATTTCTATCTACGTTGTTCCTGTCCGCATACGAGATTAGGAAAAGATTTTGATTGAAATTTAAAATTTCATTAGAATTGGTCTGGAAACCTAATTGTTCTGTGAACTATGTAAACTCCTAGATATAGTTCCTGAGTAATTGCAGGACATCACATCAAATTTGAAGAAATATGCTGTTTTACGCACAGGATTAAGGACATTTGGAAATTTTCCTAATTGAGCAGATGCCTTTACAATTTTATGATGTGTTCAATTTATTTCCATAAAATCAGTTGTAAAGTCGGGATTAATATCGTCAAAGATTGTACTGTAAGGTTTTTTTAGCCCACAAAAGTGTGTAGGTGTCCGCTTTTTAGACTACAAAAGTTTGTAGTGTCCGCTTTTTGAGGCTACAAAAGTTTGTAGTTGACATATGGTTTATAGTGTCTCTAAAAAAGCGGACACTACAAAATTTTCTAATGGAAAAGTGCAGACTACAAAAATTTGTAGTGTGGATAACCATTTAACCTAACCCTAACTTTGTAGTCTAAGTCCAAGCTTTTGTAGTCTAAGTCCGACTTTTGTAGTCTTTTGTAGTCTATCAATAAATTTTGTAGTCTATGTCCAACTTTTTGTAGTCTTTCAGTCTATATCTGACTCTTGTAGTCTTTCAGTGTCAATTGCTCTTTCAGGGAATGCACCTTCCTTTTTTGGTCATTTTCCCCACAATACGATATTTGTTGCCATTTCATTTAGCTTTCTAAATGTGTTGGAATCATGTTATTTGGTTTTGTTTTCATGGAGAAAAGTGCAAAAAACAAAAAAAAACACGGCACTTGGAAGAATTTTTTACATCATATATTCACAACAGGAGCACTTCACAACATAATTCAAACAGATTCAGGAAGCTACAGTGTAGGGCTACAACTTTCGTTTTTTGACCATTTTAGGAAATTGGTCATGTGATCACCCTCCCAACAACCCATGTGATACATATCATGGTAATGAAAGTGCCAGGGAGCCTAATGAGAAGTAATGAAATCGTCAAGGTGCTCAATGAAATATCCTAAAAGAAATGAAAGGACCAGATGCCCCAATGAAATCTCCTAATGAGAAATGTAAGAAATCATAATGAAAGTGTCAAGCAGCATAATGAAATATCCTAATGAAAGCGCCAAGAAGCCTAATGAAATATTCTAATGAGAATTCCATGAAATGGTAATGAAAGAGTCAAGGAGATGAATGAAATATCCCAATGAAAATTCTAAGAAAATCTAATGAAAGCACCAAGGAGCCTAATGAAATATCCTACTGAGAACTGTAAGAAATGGTAATGAAAGGGTCAAGGAACATAATGAAATATTCTAATGAAAATTCAATGAAATGGTAATGAAAGGGTCAAGGAGCTGAATGAAATATCCCAATGAAAAGTTTAAGAAATGGTAATGAAAGGGCCAAATACCTAATGAAATATCCTTATGAGAAATAGTAATGAAAAAGCGAAGGAGCCTAATGAAATATCCTAATGAAAATTCTAAGAAATGGGAATGAAAAAGCGAAGGAGCCTAATGAAATATCCTAATGAAAATTCTAAGAAATGGCAATGAAAAAGCGAAGGAGCCTAATGAAATATCCAAAATTCTAAGAAATGGTAATGAAAAAGCGAAGGAGCCTAATGAAATATCCTAATGAAAATTCTAAGAAATGGGAATGAAAAAGCGAAGGAGCCTAATGAAACATCCTAATGAAAATTCTAAGAAATGGGAATGAAAAAGCGAAGGAGCCTAATGAAATATCCTAATGAAAATTCTAAGAAATGGCAATGAAAAAGCGAAGGAGCCTAATGAAATATCCAAATTCTAAGAAATGGTAATGAAAAAGCGAAGGAGCCTAATGAAACATCCTAATGAAAATTCTAAGAAATGGGAATGAAAAAGCGAAGG